GGCAACGACGTTGTAAAACAAGCCGCCCCCCCCGGTGTTTGCCATCGGGATTGGGTTTCGTCGCTTGGCAACGACGTTGTAAAACAAGCCAATTCACTTCGTGAACTCGGTAACCAGGTTACCGTTTTTTCTTTTTTACCCCCAGTTTTTTTTTTGGCGGTAACCATAATGGTTGTCGAGTAGATCATGTTGTGCGGGGTGGAGAACCCTCACTCCGCGCAAGGGGGATGATCGCACCATGTTGTGTTAAAATGGTCAAGCACCCTCGAGGCAGTTACACAGTGCTTACAACTGTCTGAGGAAGTGGAAGCACCAGAAAATAAACTTAGTCATACCCAGCNTCGCCCCTTACCTCCAGGAGTACAACGAGACTCACGCCATGATGAACCTAGTTCTGTTCGACCAGGCCATGCACCACGTCACGAGGATCAGCCGAATCTTGCAATTCCCGCGAGGAAATGCGCTGCTGCTAGGGGTGGGTGGGTCTGGAAAGCAGACCCTCTGCAAGCTGGCTGCGTTCATCGCCGGTTGTGAGGTAAGCGGCCTCAGGACTTCACGGCAATGAAGTCAGATCTGCAGAGCTACAGGGCCCGTTTCCACATTCCAGAGACGGTTTGTACCAGGCTGATCTTGGCGTTGTTCGATATGTTACCCACAGGGTGGCAGTCTCGTGTGATTATCCGTCTAAACCCTTCATCACAACGCACGAACCGCTTTCCCTACATGCACGCAGCCTCCTACAAAAGCGGTCCTACCACACATGATTATTCCACCTGGACGAACAAAATCATGATCAGGTGTCTGAGATAGCCGTGACGAGCAACTACGGGGTGGCTGACCTTCGAGCGGAGCTTAAGGACCTGTACCGAAAAGCTGGGGTCAAACCCGCCCTACCGCTTGTTTTCATGCTCACGGACTCGCAGGCGAGGGCCGGGTTCGGGTACTGTACCTTGGGGCATAAAAATAACGCCCGGTGATTGGACCGATCAATGTGAATTTGGCGCCAGGAAACAGTATGCTCCGCATTCGGTGTTGAGATTCAGTCATCACCGCTGTAGAGTGCCACGTGCCCAAACTCACGCCAACTCTACTCTGGGGAGCAAAGGAAATCCAGAAGCACATACGTTGTACGGAGTGTACCGTGAAGCATCCGGCGTTGGCAGAAGAGGATGTTACAATACAATCCGATGCGCGATGTCATGATTCCCGCGCTCGACCAGATCGTGGACGAACATTTCTTGGTGTACGTGAACGACATTCTCACTTCTGGAGTGATGCCCGACCTGTTCACCAAGGAAGAGTATGACGCGATATTTACCGCCATACGAATCGCCGCCAAGTCGGCAGGAGTTCCCGACGTTCGGGACAGCCTCATGCAGTTCTTCGTCGAACGGTGAGAGCTGCAACAAATGGTGTGCTCATCGAGAACATGATTTTTTTAGCCCTGGCGTTAACGTCTCGACCTCCATCACCACGGGTGCTTCCCTGTCCCCGGCTTCGATGTTAACGGACTGGCCTTCTCTGGTCTGGTCAAGCAAGAAATCGCGACAGCAACAACAGCATCCCTTCCCTCGCCCGCTTTCTCTCTCTTTTTCTGCCTCTCCTGCTACACCTGTCTCATTCTTTGTCTTGATGCACACCATTTCCACATCTTTGTGCGATCCTCCCTCAGGGTAAGGGCGAACTTGCACGTTGTCCTGTGCTTCTCCCCCGTGGGAGATGCATTCCGGTCACGGTGTAGAAGATTTCCGGGACTAATCAACTGCACGCAGATCGATCTCTTCCGTCCGTGGCCCAGGGATGCGCTGGTGAAGGTGTCCCTCTGGTTCCTGGAGGACATGGCCCTTGGAGACAACGAGGTATTTTGGCAGAGATCAAACGGGATGAAGAACTACTGGTGGCGGTTGTGACCAAGGCTTGTGGTTATGATGATGGCAGTGACAAATATCCTATTTTCACTCTCTTTTTTTGACGAATCAGTTCCCGAGTAATCACGACAAGATCGCGAGCACCTATTGTACACCTACACCGACGCCTCGTAGATACTCTTCCGGCCGGATACTGTCCATTCACGCGGCCATTGCCTACATGTGCCTCCGTCGTCCCTGTGCTCTATCCCCATGAAGATGAAGGAGAACATCGCACACCACATGGCGGAAGTCCATAACTCCGTCGGCGAGGTATGTTATTGTCGCTTTGGTGATGGTGGCATTGTCATCGAACAGCAAAAGTTGCTGTCGGCGTTGACATTGTCGCTGAAGAAGCTGTTGTTTCAAAAGTTAGAGTTGCCAATCCATCGTGCAGCTGTCTTCCAAAGTCAATCCGTGGATCTTCCGCGGGTTGCCCTGCATCACTCGAAAAAGTGCTGTAATTCATGGATCGAATTGCTTGTGTGCGGGGTTGTTCATTCTCCCACAGGTCTCGCAACGATTTCTTCAAGAGGAGGGACGGCATAACTACACCACACCCAAGAGCTTCCTCGAGCTCATTGGCTTCTACAAAGAACTGCTGAGGAAGAAGAAAGGGGAGCTGGACGGTAACATCAACCGCCTCGCCAATGGCCTTCAAACCCTGAGAAAAACGAATGACGATGTGCAGGTAGTGCGCTAAGGCTTCCGTCTCTCATGCTTTCTGGCAATCCGATTTGATTGCGTTGACCTTGAATTACAGCGGAGGGAAAACTAGAGATAGGTTTCCTCCTGCATTTACATTTAGATTTGGTGAAGGATGAACCCAACGGCACTGAACCCGCAACTCGCCGACTAAGTAGCGTTCATCGTCGTCTCGGAGTGTTTGATAGCAAAATGCTCCCCATTCAAAGCCCGCTGAAGGTATCGCGTGAATCCCTGTATCATCAAGGCCACCGAAGTCATGTGCCGATATTGCGTCCACGCACAGAGAAGCTCAGCCTACAATGCCGAACAAGCCTCGACAAGTTTGAAGACAGAAAAAAGCATACACAACGAGACTATGGAGTCGCACTACAGCTAGCTTTCGTTTCGAGGACATATGCCACCCCCTAGCCCGGTGCCCGCCGAACCTTTGCTTATTGCGGGAAGACCCTATTTTCACCGCCCGAGTCAGTTGGCATGTACTTTTTCTTTCGCAGACCTTGCGGGATGATCTGAAGCTGAAGATGAAGGAGGTAGATGCGAAGAAGCGCGGGACGGATGTTCTCTTGGAAGAAATGGGCACGCAGCGCTCCGAGGCCGAAGCCCAGCAGGTAGAAGTACCAGTTTATGGTGTTGGGCCTACCACTGTTTGATGACGGAATGCTTGGTGACGGAGCCTGCGTTGGATGCACAAGGGATGTGCCTCGAGATAGAAGTGCAGACCTGTAACACTTCGTTGATTGTGTGAGCTTTAAGGCGGCTCTGGTTGAATCACAGATGACCAAGGTTAAGATGATGATCAGCAATCCCCGCTATCACTTCTACTGCAACATTTTTCAGTCCATCGCGGATGTGGAGAAGTCCAAAGCCGATCTTGCTGCAAGCAACGCAAGAACAATTGAGCTGGAGGCCGAGATGGAGCTGGCGGTGGCAAAGCCGGCCCTGATGGCTGCCCACGAGGCGGTGAACTGTTTGGACAAGGCTAGCTTGACAGAGCTCAAGAGCTTCAGCAAGGTGTGCGGCGTTGTTTGATGACACGGCCAGCTTGGCGGAGCTCAAAATGATAAGCGAGAAAACGCAGACATACGGCCTCCACGGTGGTAGTTGGTGCATACATTAGGACGCAAAGTAAACGGTCGAACATGGAAAGTTTTCTAACAGCATGTTGTGTGCCATCACGTCCTGTGCGACCCTTGACGCTCCTGAAATTAAACTTATAGTCTAGACAGGTTGGTTCATGGATCTGCCTTGTTTCAACACTGTGTTTTTGAGAATCCAACACCCGATTGATCATGGAGGTAGAAGCTCTGTCCATTGGCAAGCAGCTAAGAACACCAAGAATGCCGTGGTACGGCACGTTTTCGATTCAGTGCGAGGGTGTTGTAAGCAGAGCTTAGCCGTTGGAGGCCTAAAATCACCCTCCCAGACCCTGACTCTGGCTATCTTCATCTTTCCATCTGTCACCGAATAGTGTCGCCGCATGTCTCGTGCGTTGTCTTGCAATATGACAAGCCTCCACCCGGTGTGGATCTAGTGACGACGGCCTTGCTGATCATGGTCAAGCTCGAAAAGAAGAACTTCAGCTGGGAAAATGCCAAGAAGATGATGGCAAAGGTCGACGCTTTCAAGGAGCAACTCGAGGAGTATAGAGGGGAAGATATACCCGAGGTGAACGGTCACAAGCGGTTCTTGACTCGTTTGCCAACAAGAGTCGCAATACGCCGAGATCATGTAAAGAATTCAGGCCGGCGCATTGCAAGAGCGTTACGTGTGTGCAGAAGTATCGTTGAGTATTGCTTGAAGAGTTAGCATCACCCAAGGCTCATTGAGCCCCAACCACAGTCTTCATATGTAAATTCTGTCGTCTGCTCTTTTCCTCTGACAAAACGAAAACCCTTTGTCTTGCGAGATTTCAATCCACATACATACATAATTCCATCTATGCTTGGTGTTAGCAGCGCTCCGTATCCCGTGGCGTTTGAAGCTGTTCGGCTGCCCCTTGATCTTCTTGACCAGGTCATCAAATGTATCCATCTCCACCTTAATATCTACACACAAAGGCCTGACGTCCACCACCAACCTCAAACCCGCGGAGGGCAATGCTATCCCTTCCTTCCCGTGTGGTACAGCCTGAAACACGTATAGTCTAGGATATGGGTCTGACTCGGGATATTTCCCAACATCAAGCAGGAGGTCGTGAAGCGAGTGCAGCCCCTTCTCTTGGAGCCGGACTTTACGTACGCGGTCATGAAGACAAAGTCTGCGGCGGCAGCAAATCTCTGCAACTGGGTCATCAACATCATCAACTTCAACCAGGTGAGCATCCTGCGCGAGTGTGTGCAGGGGGGGACACGAAATATCCTCAAGTCCATCAAGATGCATTCGAGCATCAGGTGTGATCAAGTGTATTTCCTGCTCTGTTTTTTTTTAGCAAATACGACGCATGTACAACATAAATTATTCTGTGGTGACGAACCAGTAGACTACATATTTCATTCTGAACGATTGGTTTGTGCTTTTCATACACTCTGCACCACACCACTTCAACATTATGCCTTGTATCACGAGACACGCATTGAACCGAACCAATTTTAATGGTTCCACAGCACACTCGGTTGCTGCGCACTTGCGTGCTGAGTGTACAACTCGAAACGCTGAATTGTTCGACAACAATGATTCCTCTTCGTTGTGGCCATTATCCACACCTTACGACGGAATCTTTCGCAGATCTACAAGAAGGTCAAGCCTCTCATGGACGCTTTGGAAGCGGCCCAGAAGGCCAAAGCCGCCGCGATTGCTGACCTAGCTAAGGTAAGAGCAGCCCAGCTTTCGCTCGTAGCACACAGCAGTATCAGTCCAAGTGCTCGCTCTTGTGCGCCCGCCCTACGACAGTATAGATAACTGGTCAAGTCCAAATGATTGAACATCTACCTCGCAACAACATTCCAAACGAGTGCACTCGGGCCAAGCATGAAATCAGAGGGTCCAACCTTCATTTTCGTACATAGGGAGCACAACAGGAAGGAATCCACCTCCAACCGCTTTCGTTTGTCTTGTCTACCAACACAACACCACAAACAGGTGGAAGACGCCTTGGCTGTTATCAACGCGCACTTGGGAAAGCTGGAGAAGTCTTTCGTGGAGGCTACCGAGGAAAAGTCGAGAGTAGAGGGACAAGCTAGAGCCTGCCAGGAGCGGCTGGGCCTGGCTGAGAGGTAAAACGCGTGGTACAAATAAGAAGTCTTGCCGTAGTGGTTGGTAGAGGTGTTGGAGTACCCAGGCTGTAGACTATATGCTCCAACCACCACATGGGCAGTGCACCAAACACCAAACGTGGCCGCACACGGCGAGTTCCGCACCGGAACAGCAACGGGGGCACAGGTGGCGAATACTCCTACCCGAGAAACATACATCACAATCCTGGGCAGGGGAAACAACGATCATCCGCGTGTCTGTGGTGATAGAGATTCAACGGGGCTGTTGCTTGGGGGCTACTCCTTGTTTTGTAGCTATAGACTAATGCCCTAGTGAGAAAATATTGTGAAGCGTTGTTTGGTGCCTGAGGGAGATTACTTCCACTCTAATTCACCCTTGCAACCACTACACAGGACACGACAACCCCACACTTTCGGCCCGCTCGAACGAAACGTCTGGCTTGAGATAAGCTCGAACGCCTAACACGTCTTAATAATTGAGCACCAGTTCATTTCTAGCAAACGTCTGGGATTCGGCGTGGTGCCGGCACCTGAGCTAAACCTTTTATTGCGGCATTGATATCACGTTTCGATTTTTCGTGATGACGCTTCTAATCTTCAAATGGGCGAACCGGCACAAAACTCTGACCTTGGGCAGGCTAACAAAGGGGCTGGCCAGTGAGAACAAACGCTGGGGAGAAGAGGTCGAGCGACTGCGAACGAGGTTAGAAATTGTTCACGTCGGATCAGGGGGTCGTTCCGTGGTTATTGGATCCAATTTCATTTGTTGGCTGTGTCGTCTGGCCCGTTGATCACGCGTACCTGACCGACTGTGAAAATGCAACTAGTTGCGGAGGTGAATCACAGGGAAGCTTTCGGTAGATTAGCGTCTGTGGCGCTCCTCCTCACGATTCTGGACCTTAAGCCCGAAACACCAACACCAACACCAACCGACAGAAAGGGCAATCATCACCGCTTGTTCTAGGTCTATCGCCAACTCCACGCCAAACTCCACCTCCAACGCGCCAATATCGCCCCTCTCTGCCATTGCCTTGCGTCCAATAGAGGAGCGAGCATCATTGGTGACGTGCTACTCGCGGCGGCCTTCGTTAGCTATGCGGGGGCATTCAGCAAGGACTACCGTCAAGAGCTGTGGAGAAATAGGTTCGACATCCCGTGTGCAGATACTGATGTCGATATCGATATTGCCATTGCTGCTGCTGGTGTTGGTGGTACTGCGATGTTTTAGCCACGCAAGTTCCGCCTTGAACACATTGCGAAGTTCATGCCCCATGTTCTTCGAACCGGCATGGGATGGCCTAATGGACCTGGAAGTAGAGTGCGATAATATTTTTTCATACCTCCATGCTCGCTATAGACTATAGGTCAAAGCGGTTCAAGCGCGCCATTTCCGACCATTGTTGCTGAGCGAGGTTCGATTCCCCTTGGTTCTCTCTCTACCCCTACGCCGCACACAATTCACGTTCGGCTTTCTGTCGTGCACGCTGTATGGTTCATGTCCTCGGTGATGCCCAGGTGGCTCCCCGACCTGACAGCAAAGATGGTACCACTTCGCGAGGGGTTAGAACCCCTGCAGATGCTGACGAATGACAGCCAGGTGGCGGAATGGCAGAACGAGCGACTGCCGTCGGACCAAATCAGCGTGGAGAACGGAGGAATTTTGACTCAGGTCGGAAGGGAAACAACACGACGTCGCTAGAAGTAGACATTCCATACTGCTGCTGTTGATCCGACATGTGAAACACCTCTGACACACAAGTAGCTTCATGAGGTTCCCTCGCCGTTTCGGTTTTCCCGCCATCTTTAGTGCCAGCGATGGCCGCTCATGATCGACCCGCAGCTTCAGGGCATCCGGTGGCTGCGTCGTCACGAGGAAGTCGCCACAGAGGCGAGCGGCCGATCACTTCTTGTCCTCCAGATGGGCGAGGTACGAACACCAAAGCCGCCACGATACGACCACCGGATTCTCCCGGTATTAAACCTACTGCATGTCGTTTCGACGGTTTCGGAGTCAAGATCATACCTTGAGGCCTGTCTGCGTATAAAGCACATGGCAATATCGTATAGGTCTGGATAGAAAGCACCGGCGCAGCCTGCTCACATGAAATCCTATCTGCACCTTGTTGTTCCAGAGTCACTACGGTGAACCTGGAAATGCTAGTACTTCTGAGGTATCGATGCTTGGCATTGGGCGACAAGTACGATCTTGCAGTACAGAAACAAAAAAAAGGCGAAAGGATACCTTTGTGTGGGCTACAGCTCAACTGGAACGGAAACAGTTGTAGGATCAGCATCGCAGCATCAGGAAAACCGTGACTTCTCCACAGAAATGACTAGAATCACGATACACTAGAGAGCCATGGTGGTCTCGGAGATAGCACATTGTAGCACCTTTCGACACTATTCTTCACATAGTGCTGAACAGGCTGCAGGACCCGCGGTCATGACAAAGAACGACGAGATACAGTGGAGAACAACAGCCGCTGACGTAAAAAACACATCCAAAATACACCAAACTGCAGGCGAATTGGATGAAGAAAATTGTGGCGGCTATCCAGGAGGGCGACACAGTCATCGTTGAGAATTGCCTTCAAGACATCGACGCGGCGCTCAACCCGGTGCTGCAGAGAGCGGTGATTCGGAAGGGGAGCAACCTGTTCCTGCGCATGGGCGGGGAGGATTGCGAGTACAACCCGGCATTCAGGCTTTATCTACAGAGTCGACTTTCGAACCCTCACTACCGCCCTGAGGTGTTCGCAACCTGCACGCTCATCAACTTCATCGTGACCGAAAGGTAGCCCTGACCCTAGGGAGAACCTTGGTTCCTCCTCACGAATGGCTTGCTACGCGTCCTTCGAAAACGAGGCCTTGAGAAGGCGGAGACTTGAAGAATTTACGCTGTAGGTCCATATGAATGTTTTGCTCGTTACAATGCTTGTGAGATGATCCTGATTGTTTTCCTCGTAGCCGACTCAGCATCGCGAAACAGACTGCACGTTCTTCGCAAGTTTGTTTTAGCGTGTTCCTCAAGAATTGACCAGCCTTCGGCGCAACCCAAGAGTTCAGCAGCATGGGACCTCAAAACGAACACCGTTTCGACCGTTGTTACGGGAAAAAACCATCGTTCCAGGGGACTGGAGGATCAGCTTTTGGCGTCGGTCGTTGGAGCAGAGCAACCGGAACTTGAAAAGACCAAGAACGACCTCGTGCAGGTACGATCTGCGAAACAGCCCGAATGTACTCGGAAATAGCCATCTGGCGAGAACGCGAGGGCCTTGTCGTTGGTGCAGTTTAGATTGATCAGTTTTTGGAAGGTGTTCGAGACCAAAAGCGGAGGCACTCGGAACGACCGGAACACAGGTTAAAGAATGAAGAACATATCGCGCAGCTAGCTGTGTGCACGATTTCGACTACCTGCGGATACCACCTTGAGTACTTGGCCGTGCCACACACAATACATAAGCTCTTCAAAGGTACCTGATCAACAGCGATGACGCGATGCCTATACGACTTACCTATCTTTATAGATATAATCGTGTGCTTGTCGACGAAACACACGCTCCGCGGTCGTTCGTTGCAGGCGTCCAACAGCTACAAAATGCAGCTGCAAGGCCTTGAAGACCAACTGCTTCAGCGACTAGCGGATGCTCCTGCTGATATTCTCGCCGACGTCGCTCTCATCGAGGTAGGCGCTCGTTGACCCTGCCAACTCATGCCAAAAACAAACACCAGCCTCTTGTAGCAGCACTCAGGAGACGGTTGGACTATCTTCTTGGCCGCAGTGCCGAGGTTTACTTTGGCGACACGCGAAGCGCGGAAGAAACGCTCGGTGAACACGCGGGGTGAAACAAAGCACTTGAGTGGATTGGTCACAGTGATCCCTGTCAGACACCCTTGTCGATGTTCGAAACATTGAACGGCACGACACAACAGAGAATGCTTGACTCCACGGAACGTGTACTCCATACGACAAGTTTCGCCGATATGCGAAGATCTTCTACCGACAGTTACAATGACCCCGAAGTCTGAATGTTTATCATCTCCCATCATGGGATTGTCCCACTTTGTATCTCCACTAACCGATTTCCCAATTCAATACAGGCGTGAAAATATAGCATGGTGGCTCCGGTCCAACGCAGTCTGTAACGTAGGAACCCTCGTTTAGTATGTGGAGGAGGGTTTGTGGTGTTTGGGGAGATGGCGGAGCTGTTTCGAGCAATCAACGAAACTGAGTGACCCCAGCATGGTCGAACGTTGGGTTCACATTGGAACTAGTACTTGGTTCTTGTCCAAGAGCATTCGTGGATAATACGGAAAGCTGCTGATGTATCGTGAATGGGTATACCTATGTGTTACGGACAAAGCTACTGACTATGAGGCTGTTCTGATGGAAGGGCGACTGATCTTGTTCGCACGCGATCCATCTGCCTTTCATGGCCTGCATGATACAAATCAGGGACTGGAGGAGATGAAGGAGACCGCTCGAGAGATCAATGAGGCGGTTGTGCTAGGAAAGGAGACCGAGGCTGGGATTAACGAGGTGCGAACCGTTGGCAACCCGACTGACAAGCCCGATACAGCAATAGAATTTGAAAGCTATGATTGCGTGCCGGGCGATCTCTGCCGGAGGGAAGCGTTAATGCAATATCCTACTGTAGATGTCTGGTCATTCGGGTCGGTTGAAAATTCCGACGAAAACCGCTTGCACAAGAAGGGGGGGTTGTATAAGACGCAGTCAAATTGGTTCGAATATTGTTCACACAGCCCGATCTCCTTGCCTCCCGAAAAGCCGAAACATCCCCTACACCCGTATTCCACTCTGCTCAGGCTCGAGAGGTGTACCGACCGGTGGCCGCGGAGGCTTCCCTGATGTACTTCATGCTCCTCAAACTCAGCACCGTCGACTCCATGTACCAGTACAGCCTTGACTCGCTAACACGGTAAGTAGGGGTATTCAGGCCACTCCGAAATCTGGGCAGTATCAGCCACTCCAAACGGAGCATAAGCAGAACTGACTCCTCTGGATTTAGGGATACCACGTACTGTAGACGGGCCAGCCGGCTCTAGTGCAGTGGGCTGTCGAGGAGAATAACCCTCTCAAGCTCAGCGACACCCCCTCTACGTTCGCCTTACGCAAAACGTTGCCTAGGTTTTTCTTCAAGTCCATCAGTTCGAGCAAGCTGGCGGTTGACGACCAACCCCAACGCGTGGAAAACCTGAGGAGAAGCCTCCGATTCACGGTGTACACGTGGGTAACGAGGGGCCTGTTCGAGAAGCATCGGCTAATCTTCTTGACACAACTCACCTTCGGGCTGTTGAAGGTGCATTTTTTTTTTGTGTTCGGACGTTCCTCAGCTCCGGAGCATCACCTAATCTTCTCTACTCAAGCCACCTGCGGGCTACGTCATATTCACCGTCGATGTTTTTAAGGCCGGCAAGGACGCCTGACAGATATATCACGAACGCGAGGGTCGACCGTTGGCTGAACTGCCACACCCAGAGCTCGCAAGCTTTTTGGCAAGTGCAGACGGTTGGAACGACCCTTAAAGAGCCCAAACCCACCGCTACGAATGTTTCGGGGAGATCCCAAATCCACCTCGCGGAGGCCCTGACATAGCTGTGATACTGTCATATTCTAGGCGGTTCCGAATTTGTTGTTCAGCGTCTGACGTCCTAGGTGGAGGCACTTTCGCATGAGGGAATCCTTCCGCCACCCTCACATTCTAGCACAACCGCAACCTCCGCAATCAGTTTGGAGCATTCGGGGGAGACACCGGGTATTCCGCGGACGCCCTGAATTTCCTGCTCAAGGGAGGACGTTCCGCCGCTGCCGGTGGGGGGGCGGATGATCCATCCCCGGCCGACTGGCTCTCCGAAACAGCGTGGAGGATGGTGCTGGAGCTGAGCTCGCTCGATGGGTAAGTCGGCGCAAGCGGCGGTTGATCGCTAAATGGGCGTGCCTCTAGCGCATGGCAACTATCTCCCCCCTGGGCGTGAATTCCACCTCAACATCGATCTCCTGAATACTATGCCCCCGCCCCCGCTTGCCTCCAATAAACAAAAAGGTTTGCTAAGCTCGCCAATGACGTGGCTGAATCGGCGCCGCGGTTTCGCGAGTGGTTTGATGCTGCTGCCCCCGAGCTGGAAAAGCTTCCTCTGGATTGGCGAGAGCTCGACAAGCGACCATTCCTCAAGTTACTGGTTGTCAAGTGTCTGCGACCAGACCGGATGACTCAGGTAGTGTGGATTCTCGCTGGAATGGAGTGAGAGGGAAGAAAAGGGCCATGAAGTATTAGGCATCGATTTACTGGGTGCATCAAGTCTCGCTTCTTGCATTTTCGATGTCGTTGGACCCGCAGTGATGTTCGCTGTAGTTGGCATGTGGGAGTTCATTTTTTCCAAGTAACACAGAACGCTCGCCTCAACTATTGGGAAACCATAACCAACGATTGCAGAGTCTGAAAGCCGCGGTGTAGTAAGAACGACAAGTGCGTCGGTCCTCGATCTAGCACGGTCGATACGGCCGACGACTCTCCGTACTGCGTGGAGGTCAAGTGCTGGCGCTGAGTAAGCATCCCCCGCACTCGCTATTTCTTATGCCCTATCGATTGTGTCCCATCGTGTCCCACCGTGTCGCGCTTCCGTCGAGCAGGCTATTGCAAACTTTGTGCGAACTAACTTGCCCGACGGCCCGGCATTCGCCGACATCGATGCCAAGCTGAACAGCTTCCAGGTAGGTGTGAGGAGCTATCACGTGGTCGCAATTGGTCGGTACGGTGTAGTCCTCACACGCCACGTCTTGGACACCCATGGTCGAAGGGGTAGCCTCCGATACAAGGTCCCAACTGGATTCATGTTGTACGAAACGAAAACAAAGAACACAACAGTAATACAGTTTCCAAAAGTAGGATAGCATGAAAACGACTATCGAAGATATTAGACCGCCGACATAATCCCTTGCATCTAGGGACCAACCGAGGTAGTGTCGTGTCTGCTGAGAACGTCGTACACCATGGAGCTTCGATCGGCTGCTGAATTGGGTACTGTAATGATTTTCACCACGTTCCATGTCGTGGGTTTGTGGCCAGGGTTGCTCGGGTCTCAAGCCGTCGTGTCGTTGAATATTTCGGGACTCCTGAAAGTCAATTGTTCATAATGTGGGTTTGCCGAACCAGGTGCTGTCGGAGGCCTTCAAGGACTCTGATCCAGCCACCCCAGTATACTTCATCTTGTCAGCCGGAGCAAACGTCACAGCCGACGTGGACAAGCTTGCAGACGTGTACGGCATGGAACGGGGAACAAACTACCACGACATTTCGCTGGGCCAGGTGCGAAAGCGACAGAAACCAAGTCGATTTTCTTCCTTGCTTCGCACAGCGCGGCTGCACAGGAAGCGCACGGCGAACCACTGGAAAACAAACGCACCCGAGGATTGCGTTTTCCAGTCAATGGGTTCAGCCCCGCAAGTCACGCGATGACCCAGGGAAGTTCCTGTTGCTTCGAATTGCACCTGGAACGTCGTAAGGGATAGCAGATATCAGCGGCACAACTTCAGTATCTAAATAAGGGTTTCCTCCGCCCGCGTTATTTTACCTGTGCTCACTGCCACGTCAACGTTCCCGTGCGCATGGCTTTTGTAATACGACATGACATGGACACCAGGGACAAGATGTGGTGGCGATGGACAGGCTAGACGTTGGTAGCGCTCAGGTGGGAGGGTGTGCTCGGGTGTAGATATACTATAGCAATTGAGATAGGGGTAGGGGTAAACACCTAGGCTTGATAGGGTGGGCGTTTTGTCGGTGCCAGTGCCGTGTTTCGATCCGTGAGTGGCCAGCGAAAACCTCCTTCGAGAATTCGCCTGCACATCTGGTTGTTCATGTCGTAGAGGTAGTGGAAAATGATCGATGAACAGGTGCTGCTCAAGCGTCATTGCTCAACTTCGGCATAGCCCATGATACGCATATGGGTGCAAACGGGCGGGGTAACTTGTCACCTCGCATGGTTCTGACCTACAGTGTTCGACACTTGCGACGCTTTCCTCTCTCAAAACCTTGCAGGGACATTGGGTAGTGCTAAACAACGTCCATTTGATGCCGAAGTGGCTACCGGCGCTGAGCAAGCGAATGGACTACTTCAAGGACATCGGATCAAACCCCAAGTTCCGCATGATGCTTTCCTCGGACCCGTCGGGAACAATCCCTGTCGGCATTCTCGAAAGGTAAGCTGTCTTGTCCACACATCTGCCTCCACCACGAGAATTGGACAGTGCAGGTCGAGAACCAAAGCAACTGACGGGCTTGTGCTAACAACAGAACGTGTAGTACGGGAACCACTATAGCGTATGTTTCGATTGTGGCGCTAACCCCGCACTGCCAAGGTGAGCACTTTGTAAGAAAAGGGCGTCAGCGTCAAATCAAGTACGTGTTATTGTTCTGTTAAAACTAAGCTGCTCCTCTTCGCGAACTAAGGGACCGGTAATGTTTGTTCCACTCTACTAGACGTAACGAACCCTCCCACCCCTTGCAGAAAATGCACGTTTTTCTTACCATGCAGTAGTTTCACCTCTCGAGTTGTGGACCAACAAGCCGGCCAACTGGGGTTTGAGCTAATCCGCCGGTGGCACTACCTACGCTTCTTTCGATGGCACAACATTTATTCTGGCCACCAGGTGCATCAAGCTGACAAATGATCCGCCTTCGGGTCTGAGAGCAAACCTCAAGCAGGCTTTCGCATCTATCTCCAGGGAGGACTACAGCGACCTAGAACCAAGGTAAACACAACTTCCCGGCTCGGACTTTCTTTGTTGAGCGCTGTTGTGAGACTCGTTGGGGGCAAGAAGAGAAGGTCGACTTGACTGACCTGAAACCAGAGTTGAAAGTTGGAACCCTTTTGCTGCGCACAGTTTATTTGTTTGGCTTTGGGACAAGAGAGATGACAACTGCGCGAAAGTCGTATGTGCGACCAAGATTGAAACTGTCCCTTGATTGTTGCCATCGCGCGTTCTAGTGGTGCTGAAAGGCGCCACATTTCATTCAATCGTTCAATCTTGCTTGCTTGCGGGTTTGACCGTCGTTCCTGCTTTATCCCGTACTGGCGGCTGCTGTGCGCTTGTGGTTGATCTTCCTAATAGGACGCAAGGAATTCTGTTCGGACTGTGCCACTTCCACGCCTTAATGCTTGAGAGGAAAAAGTTCGGCCCCAAGGTAAACAACAAGACTGCGTTATCGATACCTCATGCACTTGCTTTTGGTGCTCACGAACAGTTTCCAACGGTACACCGTGTAACCTGACCTTGGAACGGTGACATGATGCTCGGTCAGAACTTGACGGGGGGCTGTTTGCTTCCACCGAGACACGACCCCTTCAGAACGGCCAGTAACTTGGCATTCTATGTGCTTTATTACACAAAAGGCCGTTTGCTTCTGGCCCTTGCATGTTCGGCAGTTCCTGTGCCTCTTCGAGCCGCGTGTGGTTCAAGAACGATGACATAGTTATCGGTATCATGCACACTTCCTGCCGTCACGTCACCTCCGCCTCTCCATCCCTTCAGGGTTTCAATATGATGTACCCCTTCAGCTCATCCGACTTGACATGCAGCGTGGCGGTCTTGAAAAACTACATGGAGAACGCTCCAAGCAAGGTAAGGTTGTGTGCACCAGGCAATGCCGTAGCCGCTCGTCGAACCTTGCTACGGATGAACAACGAGCACCCCCGACAGCTCTGAAAACATATGCGGTACACTGAACAACGGTCTGCCAAGGGTTCGAGTGCTGCAATATTGGATACGGGCGAGCCTACAGCGCTCTGCACGAGGCAGCGAGACAAGACGTATCGGTGGTAGGAATGCAGGAGACACGGAGGGCAGGTCGAATGGAATTTGCAGCAGCGGGTGTCCGGGTGTTCTGCTGTGGCACGGAGACTGGTGGAGTCCATGGTGTGGGGATAGCTGTCGAAGATTCACTGTGCAAGACATCCACGCTCACTACGGAGTTTATCGACGAACGCCTTATGGCCATGAGGCTTCCGTTGGCAGGCCACCGTGGAGCGGTCAACTTCGTTGCCGCGTATGCTCCAACCGAACCTTCAACCGCCGACAGCAAACGCGTGTTCTGGGGGAAACTTGACAGTCTCGTGCGGAGGATCCCTTCAAGAGAATGCGTGTATGTCCTACTGGACGCCAACGCGCGGGCGGGAGATAGGTTGGACGGACGGGACGGAAGGGTAATAGGAATGTACGGGCGCGATGAGCTCAACGACAATGGCATGCTACTGTTGAACTTCGCAACGGAAAACAGGCTAGCTCTGACGAGCACGTTCTTTGAGACACGCAAGGGTGGAATATGGCACACATACAACGGTGTGTCGGGAACCGATTGCAAGCGCCTTGACAACATCCTGACAAGGCAGGCACATCACGGCCGAGTATCTAACGTGGTCGTCATCCCCCAGCGGTTCGCCCAGTCAAAGCAGACTCAGACCACAAGATGGTAGTAGCCACCGTCAACCTCAGCTCAGTGGCAGGCTTGCCCACAACCGTGCAGTCCGGACTAAACCGAAACAGAAGCAATTCAACCGACGGGAATTGCAGTTCGAAGCAGCACGGTGTGCGGTGACTAATCGGTTCCTCCTCAACCTCGGCACACGACTGGACAAGCGACCAACCACCGCCGCGAAATTGGCGACCGACTTTACCAATGCTCTCCTCGACGCAGCGCGGACGACCCTGGGGGAGGAACCGCGGAGACACCGCACGCAGGAGTGGTGTGAGACCCCAGAGACGCGAGCAGCGCTGGAGCAGGCCCTTACCAAACGTCGGGAAGCGCGCCGGGCGATGAGGGGCAACTGGAACTCAGCGACGTGGAGTGTTCTCAAAGCAGCATGTAAGGGAGTGGCTTCAGCAGTCGAAACGGGCATTTATGCCCACTTGGACGGATATGTGACTGAACTCGAAGCAATCTACAAAGATCGCGACATGCGAGGACTGTACCAACACGTCAAGAGATCAGTGGGCCTCAGCGGGAGACAAGCGGGGGGACAGCAATTCGTCGCGGATGAGAACGGCGTGTTGCACCGGAACAGGGACGACATCCTCCAGCGGTGGGCGAGATTCTTCAGAACCCTACTCAACACCAAATCCCCAACCCTGAACCCAGACATCATCGAACGAGTGACGCAGTGGCCAGCGACACGTGACACTCAACGGTTGGGAGAGGTGCCAGACCTCGAGGTGATGGCACAAGCAACGAAAGGCCTCACGAACTGGAAGGCACCCGGCCATGACCCCCTCCCTGCCGAGTTGGTCAAGATCGATGACGACGAACCCTTCGTCCTGGGACACCTCCTCACGAACTGGAAGGCACCGGCCATGACCTCCTCCCTGCCGAGTTGGTCAAGATCGATGACGACGAACCCTTCGTCCTGGGACACCTCCTCACGAACTGGAAGGCACCGGCCATGACCTCCTCCCTGCCGAGTTGGTCAAGATCGATGACGACGAACCCTTCGTCCTGGGACACCTCCTCACGAACTGGAAGGCACCGGCCATGACCTCCTCCCTGCCGAGTTGGTCAAGATCGATGACGACGAACCCTTCGTCCTGGGACACCTCCTCACGAACTGGAAGGCACCGGCCATGACCTCCTCCCTGCCGAGTTGGTCAAGATCGATGACGACGAACCCTTCGTCCTGGGACACCTCCTCACGAACTGGAAGGCACCGGCCATGACCTCCTCCCTGCCGAGTTGGTCAAGATCGATGACGACGAACCCTTCGTCCTGGGACACCTCCTCACGAACTGGAAGGCACCGGCCATGACCTCCTCCCTGCCGAGTTGGTCAAGATCGATGACGACGAACCCTTCGTCCTGGGACACCTCCATACCATCTTCGTCAAAGTGTGGCACGGAGGAGATATCCCGCGAGAGTGGAAGCATGCAACCATCAAGGTGCTACACAAGGAGGGTGACCGGTCCAACTGCGACAACTACAGGGGGATTTCGCTACTATCTCACGTAGGCAAGGTCCCCATCAAGATCATCACCAACCGTCTAAGCGCCTTCTGCGAAGCCAACAACATCCTCCCGGAGGAACAGCGCGGATTTCGACCCAAGCGATCAACCGTCGACATGCTGTTAGTCGTGCGCCGCCTCCAGGAGCTGGGGCGGAGAAAAAAAATACTGCTCCACATGTGCTTCGTCGACTTGAACAAGGCGTATGATTCGGTGGACCGACAGATGCTTTGGAAGGTGCTGGCCAGGGCCGGGATTCCCGCGAGGCTGACCAAAGTCATCCGCCAATTCCACGATGGAATGCGGGCCCGGGTGCGCATGGACGACGCAGAACTATCCGACTGGTTCTTCGTGACACAGGGCGTGCGACAANAAGCGATCAACCGTCGACATGCTGTTAGTCGTGCGCCGCCTCCAGGAGCTGGGGCGGAGAAAAAAAATACTGCTCCACATGTGCTTCGTCGACTTGAACAAGGCGTATGATTCGGTGGACCGACAGATGCTTTGGAAGGTGCTGGCCAGGGCCGGGATTCCCGCGAGGCTGACCAAAGTCATCCGCCAATTCCACGATGGAATGCGGGCCCGGGTGCGCATGGACGACGCAGAACTATCCGACTGGTTCTTCGTGACACAGGGCGTGCGACAAGGATGTGTGCTATACCCACTGCTGTTCAACATCTTCTTCGCCGAGGTCCTCGAGGTCGTTGTCATCCGATTCAGCGAGGACGTTTTTGTTCTGCGGAGCCTGGTGTGCTTGGAGGAGGGGAAGACGGACGCCCGGGGTGGGGAGGAGACACCGCTTGACCGAGTACGGAGGGAGGGCAGCATGGGGTATGCTGTATGCCGATGATGCCGGCGTCGTGTCGAGGTCTGTAGAAGGACTGGCGAGAATGATGACCATCATCGTTGAGGTGTTCGGGGAGTTCGGGCTATCGGTGTCGGAGAAGAAGACGGAGGCGCTCCTGATACGCGCGAAGGATAAGCCGACTACAAAATCATAGCCCCCCGCCTCCACCGCTGACCATCGAAGCCGCGGGACAGAAATACCCCCAGACGACCGAGTTCCGGTACTTCGGTGGCCTCGTCAACGAACATGGCGACCTCACCCGGGAGATCAACTACAGGAGCACAGGAGCGTGGGCGTGCCTCAGGCGATATGGCCGGGAGCTCTTCGACAGACCGCAAGCGCCATTCCGACTCAAGATCCGCCTGCTCCAGGCGGAGGCGATGGAGGCACTGCTGTACGGCTGCATGACATGGTCACCACTCAGCGGCCGCTATCAGACGCTGCGGTCGATGCACAACCGACTGCTCCTCTGGGCCATCGGGTCCAAGCGCAAGAAAGGCACCTACTGGCAGCTCTCTTACGCCCAGACGCTGAAGAGGGTCGAATGCCAGAGCGTTGAAGCCACGATCCGACAACGACGCCTACTGGTCGCGGGAGCATTGGCAAGGCAGCCGAACGGGCGACTCCCGAAACGACTGATGCTCGGCGAGCTGGCGGGGGGGGAGAAGCGACGTAGGGGGGGGACAGCAACAGAACTGGCCGAAGTGTGTGCTTGACGACCTGAAGACATTCGGGGCCGACCACGGATCGACGAAAACCGATCCATATTGTCTCGGAAACCCTGTACCGAAAAACACGCCACCGAAGTCAAAGTGGACGGAAGCCGCGAAGGTGGAGGGGAGAGTACCCTGGCATGGGTGGTGCTGCAGGGAGCTGAGAGGTTCATGACCTCCTGGCACGGAAGGAAGAAGAAGCCAGGCGACAACGAGCGCTCAAACGAAACCACAAGCCATCAACCAACGGGGCGGGAGTGGGTCAGGAGAGGGACGAGGCGGCGAGGGAAGAAAGCAAACGAGAAGAGACGGACCGAGGGGCGTGATACGTGCCGGATTGAATGTCTTTTAGCCAATTCCCCCCCCCCAACGCTGCACCATTGCACCAACCCCCAACTAGTGATGACATACCATTACAATATATCGCTGGTTGGTGGCCATGTTTGCGTGTTTGCTTGTTCGTTAGTGGTCTCTCCATCGTGTGCCTTTTTCCGTCTCTTATTTCTTGTTATTTTCGGCCTGGTCCCTTGTTGTCCTTGCTCTTTTTCATTTCATTTTCTCTTTCCTTCCTGTTTCCTTTTGTTTCTTCTCTTTTTCTCCTTCTCTCTTTTTTTTCTTTCTTTTTCTGTGCCAGACGGCCTTGTCTCTGCTTGCGATGTGACGTACCATGATTGAACCAAGGTGGTGTACCTCTTTTTCTCCGGCCCGTGATGGTGACTCCTAGTCTCAGTTGCTACCTCTCAGCGCTCAGAGGGAGTGGAGGACTCGAGAATATCTGTCGTTGATTTCTATTGACTTGCGGACCCCTCGGGTCGAGTTTATTTGAGTGTATCTTCCTAGGGTAAGTTGATCTGTGACCACGGGCATCGACCGCGTCGAGTGTTGGATCAGTACGGACATACGAAGGTACTGGGCAGAGCGAGATTGGAACGATTTTTTATGTGAAGACAGCAACAACAACATTCATTTATCCTGGAAATGTCTCGGTTGGGTGCCGGAGGTCACGAAAGCATTGCGGGTGCGGTGTGAACTATTATTCTTGCCTGCATTATTTCACCAATTCTGTGTACCTTCCAATCAGGTTCCGTGGGCAGACCTCCGGTATCTGTTTGGCGAGATCATGTACGGCGGCCACATCGTCAATGACTTCGACAGGTGTGCAGGGGGCACGGCGCCCACATCAAACTGACAGCTGTTGATTCTTGCATATGATATTGGTGATGACCTGTCGTTAGGTGGAGGTGGTGCTCGTGAATGGCAACGATAGATCGATGCACCAAATCACAAGCATTTTATCAGGGCATTGTTCGGGTGTCAGGGCTACTGTGAAACAGTGGTGCGCTTCCAATGTGCAGAACGCTATCCGAAACACGCTGACTTACCGCTTGTAGAACCGATGGCTATTGATTCATCGCGTCTGACACGTGATGCCATCCCATCACGTACCTGCATTCCCCCAAAGTCTTGGTGTAGTGGAAGGTTGACCTGATTGGTACAAACCCGACAAAGTTTTTCACGCGTAGGCACAGATGAACCATCACCATATGATCGGGTAAATGCTTGTGACAGGAAGTACCGTCCTCTGCGATATGCGCTGACCGTTTTAAGCTGGATTTGATTGAAATACCCTCGGCTAAACTTGCGAAACCAGACTACCTTCTCCACGAAGCTCCACCTGGTGCACAAACGACAGGTGGAAACAGACTCTCCCTCGGCCATCCTGTCACGATCCCTTTGTTTCTCTTCTCGCCCAGTTTCTGCTATGGAATTTATCCTTGAAAAATTACATGCTGCTGTGCTGTTGACTGGGCCCTCCCCCAAATCTGCTGGATCCAGGTTGATGTGCAGCACGTACCTGACGTTTTTCATGAAAGACGACCTCCTCGACGAGATGCCGCTATTCCCCTACCCAGATTTGCCGCCCCAAGGGGGAAATGGTGACCCGTCTACCGAGATTTTCATGGCTCCCTCGGTTTCCTACTCCTACGACCAGGTTTGTAAAGGAAAAATTACTCCGAACGTGAGATCTGGGGCAAAGTACGTGAATCATTGAAAGCTAATGCTCTACCTTTTTCGATTTCGGATGATCGTACGCAGAGTGTTTGTGAGTTCATCATGCAAGGATGAACGAGACAAATTGGAAGCCAACGCGAAGCAAAATCCCCTTTGAAGTACTGTTCAGCGTGACATACGGTCCTGACTGTATTTCTCGATTCCTGTTTCTACACACTCGGTATGATACATTTGTACGATTGTGGAGACAACGAGGGCGAAGACATGAACAAATTACGGATGAGTCGTAAGCTTTAGTCGCTGAAACTATTTCAATGAAAACTGATTAATGATGAATGACTCTTACGTTACTGGAATCTCTGACCCACCTACCATGTAATCGACTGCTGTTCGTCTTCATATGCCCTACCGAGTAGATCCTGGACCACATTGACGCCACCCTGCACGGGAACTCCCCGGTGGCCTTCGGACTGCATCCCAATGCTGAGATCGGCTTCCGCACGGTAAAGATAGTAGCAGTTCTTCCGTGCTCTCACCATCTGTGACATTCAGCGAGGTGCTCACGCGCACACAGACGCTGTATCCATTGTGCGCCCACGACCGCTGCGAGCATGCTTCTCCTAGAAACACCAGAGGGTGGAAGCTCTTGTCCTGCTGAAACCAAGGAGTATCGGAGAGGTGCAGAGCATTGCCCCTTGTTGCCCCTCCTTGGACGTATCGTTCCAAGGCTGGGGAAACCTCACGGCGTGCCGGAATAAGAGCCCGTCTGATTATCACGCAAACACAAGTGAAACGAAGCTTGGGTGCCGTTGGGAGGTTTTCTCAAAGCGCTTCTTCCTGACGTCTGACATTCGTCTTCCCGTATCCTCCGGGGTCCGCGAACGGGTTAAGATCTCTGCTTGCTGGATGTCTCGCACAGCCTGAACCTCCAGCAGAGGGTTTCACGCATGATCCCCTGTCGTGTATTGTTACACGAGTACGGCCCACGTTGTGAGATATGCCTTGATGGCCCTTACTGCCAGTGTGTTGTCTAGGGAGTGTTTGACATCGACAGAACGTCCTCAGCGTTCATAGATGGTTCAGCATGCCAACTTGAGTTCCAAGCTTTTATCGGCACGTCCAAGCCAACCGTCGCCTCCGACAGCGATCAGCGCGAGCACCATTTGCATCGTCTTCACAACGTTGTCGACAATCCGAAGTCTGATCATTTTCTTCCCGTCTCTTCTTGATCTCTTGGCCCAAGGATCTCTCCACCGCTACGGTACACCCGCCAAATACATTGACACGCTCTCATTTAACCCAAACACAACGATTCTCCGCTCTCTACATTAACATACTCATTCCAGGAAACCTCCCACCAACTGCTTGCGGCGATCTTGGATCTTTCGGCCGGGGATCGGACGATGGGTCAAGGAGCCGTCAACGGTGGTGTAAACTTTGCTGAGCAAACCAGCCAGGATATTCTGGAGGTATTCAGCAGAGTGTGACACAACATGTGGTTTCTCTAACTCTGGCTCTCACGGCATTGCGCGTGAGAGTTTTTACAGCGTAACCCGGCCATATCTGCAGCTGGTCGCGGAACTCTTTTGTTTCGGAGTGGTCGACTCTGATGGGCTCGCGGACGCAAGCCAGCGAGCATGCCTTGTCCCTCTCAAGCGTAGGAACTGACGGCGGCCGAAAGTGTGGTCTGGGAAGTTCTCTCCACGTCCGCTTAATGTCACCTGTCCCGTCTCCTCAGGCTCGTTTCGTGCCTTCCACCACGGGGAAGGGAAGGGTGGTTAGCATAGCAGCCCTCTTTTTCCGTTGGTCAAATAGCAAGAATGGTCCTCCCTACTTGAAAAGCATTGTTGACGGCCTTGTTGCTGAAGCAGACAAGAAGTAGCTAATGTCGTCGTTCTCGAGGCTGTCTACCTGCCGAGCTACGAACTATTGGACGACGAAAGAGACAAGGGGCCAACTCAGTGTGAACAAGGGAGCTTGTGCGTTAGCCAAGCTTGGTGTTCGCTTGACTTCGCTTGGGTGTTCCCAAGACCGAACGACCATGTGGCATTGTACGTGGTCGGCGACATGGCAAAGGTAGCTTTTTTTCTCGCATGTTATCGCACTTTCCACAGAATGGCCAAGCCGTACACGTGCTATGTCATCCTTTGTCACTCTGTCAGCATCAACTCAGCTGCATCGCCCACACAATGGAGATGTTGTTTCTTGGAGCTAGAGCCGATCGGGAGGTGAAACAAGTTCCCGTTTCCTTCATGTCATCTTTGGTCGCGCGTCAGGTGGTTCGAGATGCTAATTTCGATCTGGAAGCCATCGCTGTGGCTTGCGACAACGACCTCGGGCCCTACGAGAACATCCTCTTACAGGTACAGTAGAATTCGACATTCTCGGAGCCTACCACATTATCTATATATGGCGCCCGTCGTACACACGTTGTCAGTGCAGGATTCACGTCTAAATTCCCCCAAAATTCAACGTTTAGCCCCCCCCTCGCCGAGACCAGCCGTGAATTGAAGGCCGGTAATTCAGAGAGCACAAGAATTTTACGAGGGAATGGAAAGCCAGAACATCAAGCCTCAGCCCTACATTTTCTGACAGCAAAGCACCGCTGTTCAGAAGCCGCAATCGCTACATGAGCAAAAATATTCCGCGTTGACCGCGCTCTTCGTGTGCCCGCAGATCTACGAGTCTACCTCGAGTTGTCATCCAACCCCGTTGTGGTCCAAAATTCGCTTTAGCGAAATGAGGAAGACGTGACGGGGAAGGGGGTCACTGTCAAAACAAGGTTTTCGCTCCACGCAAAGCCCAAGTAATACCCTCAATACTCCCCTCTTCGCACGTCCTCTTCGCTACTCCGCCCCCTCCCATGCGCACCTCAGGAGTGTGAACGCATGAACCTTTTAGTGGGAGAGATCGTTCGGACGTTGTCCGACTTGTGCCTCGCCTTCAAGGTAATTCAGCCAACTAGCATGTTGGCTGATACAAGAGACACCAGGCGTTTCAACGATCACGGGCAAAGGCGACGCCGGCAATGGCGTCGCCTAAGTCCTTCTCAATTGTAGCTTGTGAGACGGTAATATTGACTTGCGCGAACGTAGCATCGCACAAGCAATGTTGCATTTTGCTACACTTCTGCAGCAGGAACTTGCCACAGGCCAGCGAATTAAACATATCGCGCACGTTCCTGTATGACCTTCCAACAGGGTACCGACGCTCCCTCGTTGGACTTATTCCCACACTCCCACGCCATCCTCTCCATTGTTTCCATGATATGAGTTCAATCCTGCTACTTGTGCACCTGGCACCGCTAACAATCCTCCCATCTTTGGTTGTGCCGATCACGCCCCGCGTACCTTGGTCATGGCCTTGGCGCTGGCCGTGACCATGGACATGGTTCATTGGCTTAGGGGGACCTCACTATGACGGAGCAACTCGAGGAGTTACAGTCGGCAGTTTCCATGGATAAGGTAAGGAAGGACACAATGATACCAGCAACAGACGGCGCTGCAGCATTGTGTCAGCAGTCGAACAGTTCAAGCAGTATGTAGTAGAAAAAGGCAACCGCGTACTCCTCACCCCTCATCAAGCACAATCGATCGGGCGCACGATGTCCATCATTCGGAAGGCGTCTAGCTGTCGTATCCCATTATTTTCTCGCGATTGTGTATTGCACCTGTATGGTGTTGCCGCGTGACATCAATCCGGTGAACCGGCCCAGAAGAAGTCGGTGTATTGTTTTCTTTCGAATTGCATTTATTACTATTTTTCTTAAGCCCGAGTGAAGAGAGAGATGCCAAACTGGCAGAGAGCACGTTTCCCGCAGACACGTTCTGCGGCGTTTCTATCGAGCCTCTGCCTCTCTACCAATAATTACTCTCTCTCTCTCTTCCCTCCAAACAGCAACTGAGGGTGCTCTCTCCTTCGGTGGAGGGAACCGATCTTGCTGCACACAGTAGTCTCAGATGACCAAGTCCCTAAAATGGTATCGTACCATTTTCTTCGCCTCACATACAGCTACACTCCTACCGGATACCTAAGTCAGTCCTCTCCTTTCCCCCACCTTCGAAAGAAAAGTGGTGGGTGGGCGGGAAAAGACTCCACTTCCTGTCAACTCCAGAGGCTGGCACACTACTAGAAGCCTTCTATGTGACCACCTCGCTAGTTGTCTCTGCGGTGCCCTCTCTCTGGAACACAAAGACTCTGTGGACACAAGGCTTGAACAGAGTGGTAACACATGCGACTCCTCTCTCGACCGAGGGGGGCCCACAGTAGACTAGTCTACGCAAGGCGGTCGGGGTAGCTCAACATAAACAGCATGGCAATTCGAGCTGTTTCAGCAAACCTCGGTTTGTTTCGTCTACGCCTTTGCCTACGCCGTAAACAAACCTGCTCTTCTGGCACGATTTTATGACCATGGTTCTACCAACAATTGACGACAGTACCCCCGTATCCTCATGGACGTCTCTGTGTGGCATTGGCAACATCTTAGGTTCCCAGTGCATGGGAGAAGCTGGCCTATCCATCCATGAGATCCCTGTCTCTTTGGCTGTCCGATCTTCAGGTAATGGTGGACATGTGACGGTTTTTCACAGATATCCTATCACGATGCCCAGACCAATGCGTCGTTAGTCTCTGGAAACTGCTTTTTTCGCCTAAATTCTTGGGGCGACTTGCGCTATGAAAGCGTGGCCAACCTCTTTGGCCCACGGTCAAACGGTGCATGGGGTTTAATGTCATCACAGTCACACAACAATACGCAGCAGAATCGCTGTCACAGCGAAACACTGGACAATTGTCAACTGTTTGGAAGGAGTTGCTTAGAAAAAAACGGAAAAGTAAGCCAGCCATCAACACGTTCGCGAGATGCCTTTCTCCTCTTCGTGGTTGCTGACGTTTTGCAGACCTAGCCGAGACCTACACCACCAATGTACTCACGGACGCTGCCGCTTTGGACTGTAGTATTGGTTGATGACCTGCCTACCCCTGACCCTTGCTTCGAAACAATGTTGCGACACACAATAACGTATTCGATAACAACAACAACAACAACAACAACGTTGACAAGGCGAGACTCGTACAGCTGAGTGACTGGGTTGGAAGCCCCCAAGAGCCCCCTGCGGTCACCTGGCTCAGCGGGCTGTTTAACCCGCAATCTTTCCTAACGGCTATTATGCAGGTGACAGAACTACTGTAGACTAGTGATGTAGGAAACCATTGTGTAGGGAATGCTTCTGTGTCCAGAGTAGTCTGTAAAGGTCACCGGGAAGGATGACTCTGATCTATCCACTTGAAAGTTGTGCCACGACAACATGCACGGTAGCGCTTCGAGGAGTAACCCGAACGACCCTCAAAGTTCGTGTCCCCCACCACTGCTTGTCGATGGCACATCTCTTGACTCATGTGAACCCGGTTCAGAGTTGTTGGTGCCCTTGGGGTTAGCGACTGTTGGTTTTCGGTACTGGAGTTCCTTGGTGGTCGCTCCTGGATTTTGGTCGGGTAACGAACGTGTATTTCCAAATATTATCACGAAGAATGAACAATGGACAGGAGCCACCTGTAAAGGTATTGCTGCTTGGTTGCTGCGCCTGTACATCAGTCCGTATGGATGGTGCGGGCTAGCCTGCTGTGCAGTTTTGCAGGTGCTTAGTTGTAACGAACATCAAGCAGGTGTAGGTGTGCCCCGGCGTACTCAACCTTGAAGACGAGTTAATCCCTACAACGCTACCCATGCTTTTCAACGTGCACCCTGAACCGTGTATCTCCTTGTGACGTGTCCTCCTGGCACGGTGCACGGTCGGGTTAGGTCACTGCTAAGGCTGGTGGTCTGGAGCTAGACAAGTTGTCCGTGTCCACGGAGATTACCAAAAAGGTGATGTTGTGCAGATGCCAGACGAATCACGCTGCTGCGGAATGTTGTCGCGAGGAACGTTTTCGTCTAGGTTGGTCAAGTGTTCTTCATGCTGTTGAGCAACACAACAATTTTCAGGCTTTTTGCATTTTCGGCAAGCATGACACGACAGCGACCCGGTATGATGGTGTTTAGTACGCGGCCTTGGTGGTCAGAAAGTCGCCCGATCGCCCGGACCCGACTGACATAATCGATGTCCCACTTGTTCAGAACCAAGGCGGGGTCGACACAGGTATTGCTCTACAACGTTCTCCTTCCTCTGCGTTGACCAGATACGTAACTGTTTCGCTATCCCTATCCCGTCATTTGACCGCATCAATCATAGATGGATGTCTCAGACATTTCTGTTCCCAGCCGGGATGGGGCCTACGTGAACGGCCTAAGCTTGGATGGCGCACGATGGAACTTGCAGGTGCTAAGATGTTCAGGTTTTGGGGTGCTGATTACATAGCTGCTTCCCGGTGACGAAGAAAGCTAATATATATTTGAACGATCTCACACTCTCCAGTACCAACAAAGACCTGAGTCAGTGTATTCGGACACGAGGTGCGAAACTGAAGTAATGTACGATACCTTCATATTGTCCAGTAGCCTAGCGCGTGCTGGGCCGCACCTTCTGTACTTAAAATGCCTGCGCTTCAGACGTAGAAATTGCGTGCTCTTCGTCAACATGCCCGACCTCTCCCTCAAAAGAACAAGCCATACTTGTCCAAAGTATGTATCCCGGGAATATTCGCCGAAGGCTAGGGCTTCTCTTGTTTGTACTGCGTTTTGTCCAGTTGCGCACGGCGATACGAACTACTGTGGTGGTGTAAAGATGCTGTTTGAATCTTGCCAGAAGGCTGAGTGATGTTGCTGTCTCATTGCTTCGATTCCCACCAAAACGAATGGCGAAATCCCATCAAAAAGAGATTGGACCTCCTGATCGGCTCGACGTTCATCGTTGAGCCGTTCCCGACAAACCGCGCAATCACTCATCCCCACAACCCGACGTCCTTATGGGGTTCAGGGCACCGTCTTTTCTGCCAGCTGTGCAACACCCCTTGACGTTGCTCTCTTGCGTAAATCCACATGGGGCTGCATGCTTATTAGGCGCAGCATCTGGAGAGCTCGAAGCCCAGGGAAATGTACTGCCCTATGCCGGTCATCACGTGCGTCGCGGTCGTTAGTCCAAGGGCGGACAACAGTATATTCATGTGAGATATTGACAGTGATGGTGCTGTTGTTGCGGTCATCGCTGATGCTGCAAACTACAAAGTCACCTTTGAGTGGTTGGTTGAACTCCAGCACGAAACGAAACGACGGATAATGGTCGATCGACGTACTACGTGCAAGTGATAATTTGTCATCAAAGAGGCTGTAGAAGAACACCCTTGCCCGATTTAGAAATGCCTCGCCACTGTAGTATAGCAGCATCTTCAAAGGCGTCATGAAAAAGACACCTCAAGCAGGTGTTCTTAAGCAGCAGCGACTTTGTCACACAAACAACGTCCTGATATCGCCCTTTCTTCGCCCGAATACTGCGTCTTCGAACAGGTGCCCCGTTTACAAGACGCAGCAGCGAGGTCCGACTTACGTATTTGATGCGTTCCTTAGGACGAAGGCGCCTGTAGCGAAGTGGGTCCTCGCTGGGGTTGTCCTTGTCATGGATACTCAATGATGGAGTGAAAGTGTCAGCAGTGCCAGACCAGACAGAATCCATCTCTCTGGCGGGTTAGTAAGATCTTGTTGTGTAGAGTACTGCATAGACTATGTCCGACCACATAGTCTAGATATGCATGACGTTCAGAATGTTTGCGTCGGTTGTTCTCGTAGTGATACTGTATTATTGGCAACGTTAGCCACACGCCAAGGTCGATCCAATACGGGAAGACGCTTGCCCCGTAAGAGAGCAACGATCCAGGCCTAAGTGAACAATTTGATGCCCCACGAGACTAGACGAAGGAGTCCGATCTCACCCCAGGTCCCCGCACCGAACTGGGGTACGGGGTTTTGTTCGATTTGTGGGCGATCTTGGTGATTTGGGGGGAGTAGGAAATTTCGAAATTCGTACGCGCTGTTGTTCAATCGGTACGACGATAGAGGACGACTTGCCGATAGAAGCACGTGTATGTACATAGCTTCTGGACGTGGGTACACACCTGTATATTTGGTTGTCGGCACTTAATTCCGAAGGAAGTGCCCTGGTTTTGAGATCAGATCTATCTACTTGGAGCCAACGGACGTGATGTGCGGGCGAACAAATTCCTTGGTTGTTGCGCCTACCTTTCTTTGTTTGATTGATAGTAATTGCAAAAAAAAAACACATGGAAAACCAAGACACTCAAGAGGCAGAAAACGGGTGTTCTCAGCTCGTCCTTTGAAACCGCGCCTGCCTCCCGCCGCATTGAGAGTCAGAGACTCTTGCAGTGATGCATTCCGAACAGGGCCTTCCTCACCGGTAGGCTCTTTCAAAAACACGCATATTCTACCTCCGTCCAACGTTGTGTGTATGCACGAACTCCCGATTTCAACTCATAGACTAGACTAGACTATACAGCAACTTTTTCTTGAGTGATGCGCTGGGGGGTGTCCCCGCCGTGATCTTCGAGCTGTGCGCTGTTCTCACGTATTTGCCGTGTTCAAAACGTATGTAGGTTACGTTTGTGACGCCCCATGGTCATCTGAGAGCATTCGCTGTGTGTTCTCCGGCGATTCTCCGCGCTGAAAACTCGTCGTGGAAGAGTATGAGACTTGTGTCCGTATCTCCTTCGTTCGACCCAACCCCTTTGGTACGCCTCTTTTCAGTTCTCATGTCCTCGAAAAACATTCAATGCAGGTATAACTTCTCGGGGAGCTGATACTTTCGTCGATCTTGGAGCTCCGTTGACGCGTAGTATACAGGTCGCGATATCTAGACACACACAACAAGGTGTTTGGATGATTTCTCCGCCCCGTTCATCAGAGACGATGCCAAAACTCGTGACAAGTCAAGAAAAGCTGTTCAATTCCAGTATTGGGGAACGATCAATATTTTCACATAATTTCGACTGGCGTTTGATCTTGCAAATGGTTTGGTGCGGTGAGAGAGCGCCACGACCATACAAGAAAAAGAAATCCGGTTGCCTCTCCTTGCTGCGGTACCTACCTAGTTGTTGGAATGTCCAAAGGCGGGTTATCGTACCTTTATTTCGAGAGAGATACAACAGGGTACCGCAGAAAAAGGTTCGTGGATCGGGATTGGTACACTGGCTACTCAGTCTACCCTTCCCCAAGGGTGAGGGCGCCAATGAGAGTGCTAGTCTCTGTGGGATCTCGGTAGGGCATCTGAATCAAGACGCCCCAAAGACACACGTTCGGACAGCATCCTTTCGAAGAAGGATAATATCCCCCCGTTATTCTGTTGCCCAACACGCGTAAATGAGTATTGACCGAAGCTAAGGCAACAATACGCTTGATGTCCTCGCACTTTTGAATAGATGTCCAGTTGATGCCCTGCCCTGTACCACGCCATTAGGTGCATCTTGGTCCTCCACTGATCTTACATGCACCCCTTGAACTGCATCCACACGTCCTGATTCTCGTCGTGATAATCAGGCCGCAACATCCACGTCAAATCGCCCTTTCGACTGTCTAGCCAAGAAAACACGTACCAAACACACATGTGCCTAATCCACACGCACGCGTCCTGCCTTGCGGTTCAACGCTACATACTTGAGGTGCCTCCCTTGGACATCATTACATCCTGGGAAAGAAGCACCATATGAGTATTCGCCCCTCTACCAGTTGCCCAGAAATGAGGGTTGATTTCCAACAAAACGTCCACACAACATTCGCACTCGTGAGTCTTGAATGCAGTCAAGCTACAATTTACTCTGATACGCTCGGAAGGGACACGTTACAGAACCGTTCGTGTATCCCTGTTACTACGTGATTCCTGCCCATGCTTAGTATACCGCAACGCAAGTATAGGAAACCAAGGTTCCGACAGGTTGCAGTGATTTCAGCCTCACTTCATGTGCGACCCACGCATAGCGCTCTTTCCTCGAACAACACACGGGGCCTTAGCGCCAGGGTCGGAGCAATCGCACTGGCTTCGGATAATGCCGGAGACGCAGCACTCATCCCCACTAAATTCGAAGGATTGGTTCCTCGCGCATCCCCTACCACCACACTGCCGGCACTCCAGCTGTCGGTGGAGGAGCACCCGGAGCAGGAGATATGTGGTGGGGGGAAAGAGGTATCATGAGCGAAGAAGCCCTTACTGCAGCAGGTCCACAAGTTCAGCATGCAACAAGGAGCTACGGAGTTTACCATTGGTCACCATTGATCTGCATAGCTGCAACTAGACGTCACGCAACGCAACTATCCAAATCCAGAGCAAGCCTCGCCGGGCAACAAACGATGCCTGGGCGACCCTTGCCGATGTTTCCTTGGATGCCCAGGTAGTAAGGGGAGCACGTGGCTCGGGGCGGTGTCGGCCTTATCGGCCGGGAAGGCATGCCTGGAGATAGGTGGTATGCAATCGGTGTAGTGGGTGTTCTGTTGACGTTTATGCGATTGTGGGTAAACGTTCGTCGCTAGACAAAGACACGCAGCTGCTCATCGTTTTCGAAGCCGCACACCTGGCACGCTACACTATGACATTTCGACTCGGATCGAACGGTACAAAAGGTGTGGGTCTCAGAGAGCACGCGGCCGGAGGGTTTGTGAGGGAGGACCTCGAGAAGGAACATCGATCAAGATAGGGAAATGAAAGGGCAAGACACAAGCTTTTCTCTCTCCTGTCTCGCGAACTATCGCATGAACCTGACTCACCGGCATTGGCTTCGGCATTGGCTTCGGCATTGGCTTCGGCGTCGCCATTGGCTTTGGCGTAGGCTTCGGCGTTGAGTGCGTCTCCGCTGCATCGAGTAGACCGGGTCGTAAACGATTGGTGCGTGTCGGAGGGGTCCGTCAGGAGAGTGTGTTGTACGATCATTACGGAAGTGTTTGGTCATACATCGGAGAGAACAAGAGAAATGAACCGGGGGAGTACATACATGTTAATGAGAAGAGTAACAGAAATGGTAAACGTGGAGAGAGACAGTGAGAGTAGAAATCAAGTTGTCGCCGCGCGAGCTTCATAGAGCCAGAATCACCCTGCGGGTGGCATCTCGTTTATTCTGACGCAATCCGACGGAGTTCCCTCGCAATCATCACATCTCAGGCTAAGGACCCTCGGGAGGAGGATGCGTGGTTGGTGGCCTTAGGAGGTTGTCAGGCCTACGAAAATAGATCCTAAAATGCACAGCGATGTGCAACCATCGGAACGGGAGATCCGTCAGTATTGGGAATTCTCTCCAAGCCAGAAATCACATGGGTTGAGCCTCATTGCAAGTCTATGGTGTTTGCCATCATTGCCCTTTGTTGTTCGGTGGTGTATGTTAGCGTCGGTGGAAGAACTCACCGTTGATGATGCACGGGGCCTGGGCGCCAGGTGTAGAGCACGGGTTGCACGTTCGGATGATGTCATCGATGCAACAGTCACGTCACCACGCTTCTTCGAGACACGTTCTGGGCCACCGCACGTCCCGCATGCGAGCTGTTGGTGTAGATGAGCATTGGAAACGGGGGGTGTAGAGGGGAGGTCGGTTGGTCTCGACAGGTATGAATAACAGCACAAATTGATACGGTGACGTAAACTGTAGTGTTGTTGTTGTTGTTGTTGTTGTTGTTGTTGTTGTTTCTCACATTAGCTCTATAGTCCACCAAAAATATGATGAACTCTGATGCTTGTCAGGTAGCGAGTGGCGCATGACAGTTGACAGCTCATTTGATTCGGATGCTCCCCGGACAGTCGACGATGCCATTGTGGTTCATGCCGACCAGCCCTTGGATGTCGGTGTAGATACCGCAGGTCTCATTGTCTGTATTGGGAGTCGGCGCAGGCGTGGGCTCAGGCGTCGCTGCTGGTGTCGGTGCTGGTGTCGGAGCAGGGGTTGGGGCTGGTGTCGGAGGAGGGGTCGGCGCGGGAGTCGGTGCAGGCGTTGGCGCAGGCGTAGGCGCGAGAGTGGGCGCGAGAGTCGGCGCCGGACTTGGCGCAGGTGTCGGTGCGAGCGTCGGTGCAGGCGTCGGTGCTGGGGTCGGTGCAGGCGTAGGTGCAGGCGTTGGTGCAAGCGTTGACGCAGACGTTGGCGCAGGCGTCGGCGCAGGGGTCGGCACGGGAGTCGGGGCCGGAGTCGGTACAGGCGTCGGTACCTACGTCGGCGCAGGGGTCGGCGGAAGGGTCGGCGCGAGGGTCGGCGCAAGGGCGCGGGAGTCGGTGCAGGCGTTGGCGCAGGTGTAGGCGCAAGAGTGGACGCGGGAGTCGGCGCCGGAGTGGGCGCTGGCGTCGGCGCGAGCGTCGGTGCAGGCGTTAGTGCTGGGGTCAGTGCAGGCGTTGGTGCAGGGGTCGGTGCAGGCGTTGGTGAAAAAGTCGGCGCAAGCGTCGATGCAGGGGTCGGCGCTGGGGTCGGCGCAGGCATCGGCGCAGGCGTTGGTGCTGGGGTCGGTGCAGGCGTCGGGGTCAAAGTTGGCGCAGGCATCGGCGCACGCGTCGGTGCTGGTGTCGGCGCTGGTGCCGGTACTGGCGTTGGAGCAGGGGTCAATGCAGGTGTTTGCGCTGGCGTTGGCGCAAGAGTCGGCGCGGAAGTCGGCGCAGGTGTCGGTGCTGAGGTCGTGGCAGTAGTCGGCGCTGTAGTCGGTGCGGAAGTCGGCCCCGTCTCCTCTGCGTGGAATAGACTGGGCCGTACACGATAGATCGTTGTTGAAAGGGTCGGGGAGTGGTCATCGCGTCAAGCATGTAGCAGGTGGCGTTTGTTCAGTTTCGGAACAATGATTGGTGCACAGCTTCATGCACGAGTAAAGATGTCATGACGGTGGAAGATTGCAACTCAATGAGAACAACCGATATGTTGCACGCGTGCTGAGATCAGAAAGCATAGAAATAAATAATCGAAGGGAGAGCTCAGGCACAGAGCCATCACCACGCGGGTGGCCTATTGCGGCGTTTGGCTTGCATTGATTCTGCCGCAAACTCGACGGCGTTCTCTCGCATGCATCACAGCCAAGCCTGAGGTACCTCGGGAGGATACGTGGTTTCTGCTTGTTAGGAGACTGTTGGGATCATCTAACGATGCCGGCAAGGTGCACGAAGGCAACGAGCAACGCTGACAACTCAGACATAAATAGTCCTTAAAATGCGCAAGATATTTACAAGCATCGAGACGAGACTCGCTAGTGGCGGAATTTCTTTCTAAGCCACGAAAGATATTCCGTGGGATGCAACGCGCATTTACGGTAGTCGGCATGCCATGCTTCAGTCGTTGCTCCGTGGTGCTTGCTCGCGGTTGAAGGACTCACCGTCGATGATGCACGGCGCCTGGGCGCCAGGTCTAGAGCAGGGGCTGCACGTTAGGATGATGTCATCGATTCAACAGTCGAGTCTGCGACGATTCTTCGAGGCACATTCTGGCCCACCACACGTGCCGCATGCGAGCTGTTCGCAGAAACGCGTATCGAGAATGGGAACGGTGGCGCGGGCTAGAGGTGTCGGCAGCAACGAAGATTTCCAACGATCCACGAGTTTATCACGCAAATGTACGACCGAGTTCGCGATGTAGACTGCCTTGACCAGTCCTGCAGTTTGGCATCGTGCAGTACTCAGATAAGGGGCTAGTCTCACCGGGCAACAGACGATGCAATTGCCGTTCTGGCTGACGATTCCTTTCATGCCCGAGTGGTAGGGGGCGCACGTCTCCTCGGGTGGTGTCGGATTCTTCCGTGGGGAAGGTTTGCGTGGCGTCCGGGAAGGCTTGCGTGGCTTCCGGGAAGGCTTGCGTGGCTTCCGGGAAGACTTGCGTGGCTTCCGAGAAGGCTTGCGTGGCTTCCGGAAAGGCTTGCGTGGCTTCCGGGAAGAATGCGTGGCTTCTTGGGTGGCATCGGTGCCGGGATCGGTACCGGTGCCGGTTCCTTCTGCGGGGAAGACGTGCCTGGGGCGGTGTCCGAGTTGGTTGACTTTGGCGGTTGTGGCCAAAAGGTGGTCACTTTACAACGACACAGTTGGACTTCACTTTCCGGAGAGCTACCAATCCAAAAACCATGTCGCGAAATCATGCTGTCGAGACAGTCGGGGTTTGATACCCCCCCCGTCTATGGCCCCCCCCGGTGTTTGCCATCAGGATCGGGTTTTCGTCGCTTGGCAACGACGTTGTAAAACAAGCCAATTCACTTCGTGAACTCGGCAACCAGGTTACCGTTTTTTTTTTTTCTCCGTTTTTTTTTTTGCGGCAACCATAATGTTGGTCGAGTAGATCATGTTGCGCGGGGTCGAGAACACTCACTCCGCGCAAGGGGGATGATCGCAACACGTTGTGTTAAAATGGTCAAGCACCCTCGAGGCAGTTACACAGTGCTTACAACTGTCTCTGGAAGTGAAAGCACCAGAAAATAAATTAATTCATACGCAGCTGTCATCCGTACGCAAGGAAGTAAGCACAAGATGCCGAAAACCCTTAGCAGGATGCAGCGCACCCTTCATGCGACTCGCCGAATATCTCACGGCGCTTCGCGCTTGGTGATGTGAGAGCCTGGTCCGGTGAGAACCCGGCGTGCTCCGTCCCGGCTTTGTAGGGATGCGAGGTCAATGGTCTAACGACCACGGCATGCACGTCTATGAGTACACCCCCCCCACCCCCCCCGTCTATGGAACATTCATCATTCACCGTGCTTCTTGCACTCGTGAGTCTCACGGCAACCATGGCGGCCGACGAGTCATTAGTCTTTCCCTGTCTCACCCTTAGGTCCTTCGATGATGCACGGGGCTGTAGCTCCACGGTCTGAGCAATCGCCCTGGCTCCGGAGGACGCCGGAGACGCAGCAGTCATCCCCACTCAATCAGCGGGGTTGATCCTTCCTGCATCCCACGCCACCGCACTGTCTGCATTCCAACTGTCGGTAGAGGAACACCCAGGAAGGGGCCATGCGGTGTGAGCGTAAAGATGTATCGAATGCAAAGAGGCCCTTCGCCGGTCCTTAGGTGCAGAATGCAATCATGAGCTACGGAGGATGTCAATTTGCGTTGGTTGGCACGTCACACAACTCTCATATCAGGCACACGCCTGTCTCACCGCGCAACAGATGATACCTTTGCTGCCCTCGCCGACGTTTCCTCGGATGCCCGGGTGGAAGGGGGGCGCAAGTCGTTTGGGGCGGTGTTGGTTCCCTCAGCTGGGAAGACTTGCCTGCGGTTACGACGGGCTTGGAATTGTGCTATGTTATGTAGCTGTAAATGTACGGTTGGAGTTGACGTTTATGCGGTTGCGGGCAAGAAAGCGCTCTCTTGCTCTGTGAGACCTTCAGCTGCATGTCACATTCAACTCCAAACCACATGGCATCCGCACAGCGTAACGGAACCCACCTCGTCACGACTGGTTGTGGTTTGGTCTCTTAGAGCACGGGACGGAAGAGTCTACGAGAGGGGGTCCCGCAGTGTCTTGATCTACATGTGTTCATAATAGTTTTTTTTTTGAAAAAGTGGGGCCCGTTACGGGTACGCTTGTTGTTTTGTTTCGCAAAAACAAAGCTGTTTAGAGGGATCGTGTGTGGAGTGCGTGCGCACGAGAAAAAGAATAATTTTCATGCACAGGGGCGTGAAAATTTAGCCATGGCTGTCTGTCTGTCGGGTGTCTGTCTGCGCGCCCTAAATACCCAGCAGACTCGAGCCCATTTCACCATCTCGGCACCAAATTGCAAACTAAAACTTGCGCACAACAAGTAACATTTTGCCCGAGCTGTCCCAACCGCTACCTTTGCAATCCGTGGTCGGTGTCTCGAGATAGCACACCGTTTGTGCAAATATATATGTCACATGGACGCATCCCCGGGAGGCGTCGTCATTTTTGTTTTTCTCTGGGCAACAAACTACACGCACGCAAGAAACCACGACGCACTGCCGTGCTGCACACATTGCTGCTGCTACTGGCAAGACACGCACTACACAGAGACAGGGAACATGGACAAGGGGGGCGGGACACACATACATACTGCTGTTAGCGACGGCCGAGGAAGCGGGGAACGCTTGGTTGGCCTGGGGTTCATTGCTGGTGATGTTGTTGTTGTTGTTTCCGTTGTTTGTT